AACTCTAACCCCTCGACCACGGAGGCGGTATAATTAATCTCGTACCAATACCTCGTACCAATACCTTGCGGGCTTCATCCCGCAAGGTTTCCCGTGGGTTCCATCCTGCAGGGAACAATGCGATAGCCAGCCTATCAAATGCCCAGTAGTAAGCGCGAAGAGTTGATGCGTTGTAGGTTTATAAAAGTAGGCCTGCAAATGCGTATTTGCTAAAAAGAATGAGCTTAGGTTTCCAGCAGGTAGATTTTTTAACAATTAACAGTTGATTCATGATGAGGAGCAAAAACGTATAACGTTTGTCAGCGCAAATAATCATGTTTACTCACTGGCAATTTTCAGAGCTGTGGGTGTATCATGTATATTCTAAGCAGGTAACAAAATTAATCTTATTTCTAATAATATAAATAATTATTATTATCATCATCGTTGTCATTATTATTATAATCATCACTGTTATTATACTTAAATAGTTAAAAATTATATTAAGTTATATCTCGTTAAAACTTATATATCAATACAGGTGATTAACTCTGCCTAACATATGCATAAGAAGGTATGCACGAAGACATTTTATTAAGCTTACCTTGTAAGGACATTACGAATATTTCTGACGAGACGAAGAATTTAAAAATACAACACATCGTAAATTCCATTTTATATTTGAACCTGCTTGTCTGTTTTAATTCAATGTTGTAAGCTGTGGCTAACATAAATAGAGAAAAAAGTAACTTTTTCATCCCCTTTTCTGCTATATTAGTATAAAGTATTTATCAAGGAAGATAATTTAAATTTCCGTTGCATTGTAAAACATATTTTTCTTATCAAGTTTGCTACTTTTCCTCTTTCTATTTTTTATACATTAATTTAACACCCTAAAATAAACAGATTCGCTGTCCTTTTGTGCGATAAATCGTAACTTTAGTTCAAAAACGGCTTAACTCCTATTGCATTATATCAGGAGTTAACACGTTACTACATTAAAGTGATGATTTCTTTATGTTTCATACTAACGGAAGAATTGAGGAAATTGAGTTAAACGTTAACTTCATGATATGATTGTATCATTATTATTTTTTACACATGTAGATCAAGGTACCGGTAGCCGCCCAATCTTATCGCTCTGAGACAACATTAATGATGAAGAGTGATTAATGAGTGGAAAATGCTTTCCTCACTAGGTATCTGTTAAAAAAGGGATGAAATATGTTGTGGTCTTAAATCATCAAAATGGAAACGTATTAAATGTCTTTTAAAAAGCGGTCCCTCCAGGGAATCATCAATTTTACTTTGAGTTATATAGGCCTAGAGATTTGGTATATTACATCTGGGATCAAAACGGGCGAATCCCCAACTATCTACAAAAAGGTAGTTGGTAATACGTACTTTGTATGTTTTCCCTCAAATCATAAAGTACTTTTCCGCAACAAATAAAACGGATATAACGGAGAACAATCTATCACGCCCCTAGTAGACACAGGGAGACAGTGTGAGAACACATCTATCATTCGCGAGAATACCCAACTTCCTACTAAAAGGTAGTTGGTATATTGCATATATTCTTCTGAAAAGTTAAACTGAACATATTTTTTCTGAAACAAATGTTACGGTTATGTTACAAAAATATGTATTTACTATAATATGGTAACACCCCCTCCACCATTAATAGACCAGGATCAGTTATTCGCGTGAATCTCCAACTACCAACCAAAAGATAGATGGTTATTCGAACATTTCATGTATTACTCAAAACACAGAAAATAGTTATCAGAAAAAAAACTAGCAAATATATGACAATATAAATGAATTCTACTTAATGGTATCACCCGTCTCCAAACGTCGATCAGGGGACCCAGTTGAATCTTAAACTACATACCAAGGTGCCGTTTTATCAACAAAGACTGTCGTAACTGCGATTTTATATTACGACCGATACTTACGACCGAATTTCTGGTAAGTATTTAGGTATTGGCGCGAATAAACAACTAGGTCTCCTACCTTATTTTGTGTTCCACATAATGTATGATGTGATCTAACATTTCATGCTGGTGATAGTAGGTTGACTTACTAATTACCACCTGTTAAATAATTCGGAATTAGAAATAACCTACTACTAGCTAGTAGATAGTTGGTAATTCGAATATCCAGCTACAAACTACCAACCAAATGGACAAGTTTACCTTAACAAGTGGATTCTCTATTCTGTTTAAGCATCGGAGTGCTGTTTAAGGGTGGCATTTATTTTGTAGAGTGGTCTTTAGTTTGGGTGGTCTTTGGCACGGTATTGACTGTTCATACTCATTGCTAGACGTTATGCTGAACAAACAATACTTTTTACATGTTTGTACTATATGGGAAATAAAATGTTTATAACAAGAAAAGATTTAGTAAAATTTACTAAGATTTTAATGAAAATGAAATTAATTTGCGTGTTTAATGCATAAAGGGCTTAAATGAATGCATATATTGACATTTATTTGGTAAATAACGTGGATTAAAAGTGTTGTTTGCAATAAATTTATGTAAATTACTTTCTTTGTTAACTTGAAAATTTTGTACTTTTTTCATTTACATAGCATTTTTAAATTTTTGATGAAAGTCTGGAGGTTTGCTCCTTTAACATATTTTTTTCACCTAATTTCAACCAACAAAATATTTTCAACTAGCGAAACTTTATTAAATATACTTGTTTTTTAGCATCATCTATTATTAATAACACGGTTTGGTTTCTATTTACTAATTGTGATAATTAGAACTCTGGTTCTTTTTAACAGAACATGGATTTTTCTGGTATGTGTTTTTATTGGCTGTCTTACTTATTTTCCGTTCATAATCCCTCGAGCAAGGATACGATTGTCAGCCATTGTCAAATACTTTAGACCTTACAGCTATATTAACTATTTATGTGTGAAAATTCCATTAAAAAAACAATTTCTTGGTCATTAATGTGATAATGCATATATAGCAATTTCCAAAATTATTATAACGGACGCTGTGGTGAAGTGGTAACACTGTCTGGCTACAAATCTAGGGGTTGCGAGTTCGACTCCCCGCTACTCCACTAACATTACTGAGAAATAAGCACTAAATAACTAACAACATAACTAACAATATTTCGTATGAAAAACAATACAAATGACTCTTGTAATGGCGAGCCTGACACAAAGGGCACTACTCACACACTGACCTGACACATAGGACACTACTCACGCACTGACCTGACTCACATACTCACTCACAATCACCTGACACACATAAGACACTACTGACACTGACTTGACACAAATGACACTCCTCACACAATGACCTGACACACAGAACACTTCTCACCTAACCTGACACACAAGCAAGGCACTTCTCACACACTCCCATGAGACATACCGAACAAACAGGTCACAACACAAAACAACATGCAACACAGGGAACACTACTGACACCACACGAACGGACCTAAGACACACTACTCATACACCGAACATTACTTACAGGACACAAGACAAACTACTCATAAAGCAAACATTACTCACAGGACACAACACGAACTGATCCGAGACACAAGACACACTATTCATTTCTCACAGGACACAATACAAACTGATCTGAAACAAAAGACACACTACTCACACAGCGAACATTACTCACATGACACAACACGAACTACGACACACTACTCACACAGCGAACATTAATCACAGGACACAAGACGCACTACTCATACAGCGAACATTACTTACACGACACAACACAAACTGATCCGAGGCACAAGACACACTACACATACAGCGAACATTACTCGCACAATGGCTTCACTCAAACATTTATATAACTCAACAAAAGCACTTCTCGTACATTGGACATGGAAAAATGAATCATCATTGTGATCATCAGTACATCATCACCTTTACCAATTTGAAAAAATGAAAATCACAAGTTATATATATATATCGATGCGACTCTAAAACTGACATAAATATGATTTTATGTTAATTATTATTTTGATGATGGCAGTACTGATACTGATAATGATAATACAAATGAAGATAATAATCTTGATGATGATTGGGGTAATATGATTTGATGATGATGACGAAGGTTATGATAGTTTGATAATTATGATTTTGACGATGATGAACATGATTTATATTTAAGTGATGATAATTATGGAGGTGATGATTGTTATGATTTACGTGATGTTGATGATGATGCTGATGATGTTGATAACGATTAAGATGATGTTTGATTTGATCATGGTTTTAATATTGAAGACATTATAGATGATGACTCTTTTATTATGATTGCCTTGATGAGGATTTCAATATTGATGATGATCGAGGTGGTAATGAATTGCATGATGATATGCGTGAAAATGTTTGTAAAAATGATAATTTGATGATTATACATTTGATAGTAATTATTTTGGAGGAGTTTAAAATTTTGATTTTGATGCTGATGAATAAGGTAAGGATTATAGCAAAATTTTCACTAAATCTACGAGGAATAGGAGGTTTTTTCTTTGTAATTGAGCATTTTATTCTCATTTCTTTACAATTTTGCTTCATATTTGATCGCAAGAATATGGAAACAACATATTTTGAAAATCATATACATGTAGTGAAGTTTGCCGTGTAAAACTCAACTTATTTCCTTAAAGGACCATTATGTATCAGAAACATTTATATTTTTATTTCCCAAAACCTTTTTTATTTTAAGTCTTATGTTATAATTTCCAATAAATTACTTATTGTCCATTTAGTCATACCTAAGCCGCATTTTGCGTTAGTTGCTTTTTGGCAATTGGTACAGTAATAGTGGTAAAGTATTTTGTGTGGAAGTCAAAATCTTCCCAGACAACACCTGACGTTGTTTCAACGTTGGATCTCAGTTGGATTTATGTCACGACGTCAAAATCCTAAATACAACGTTGAAACAACGTTGTATTTGCGACGTTGTATCAACGTGTTGGAATTACGTCGATACGGCGTCGGATTTCAGTGTATATCCAACATAGTAGTCTTGATTGTGTTACTTCCCTTTGTTCTGATTTATAAACCTGATAGGTGGCTCTAATTTCAGGTCAATATAATCATTCGAATTTTGTTACTCATTTTTTTTTCACATCCATTGTATTTTTTTTTTAAAAATTGTTGTTATACTAGACCATAAAAAGGAACAATGTTAGTATTTCAATTAAATAAATTGAAAAAAATAATGGAAACTTGATGAATTTCAAGACGAGGCTACAACAACGATTTGTTTTCAAATTCAAACAAAGACAAAGGAAGGACATTATGCACATCATAGAAGACAACTCGCATAGTGAAAAGTAAGTGATATTTTTGAAGGTAGATTAGTATTAAACTTACTACATGCATAATATGATAACTGAAAAATTATAAGTTACATTTGGAATATAATTATATTTTCATGATATTCAATTACCAGTTAATTAATGTAGTCTGATTCGCCCTCATTTAACTCGTACTTTGGGATTCAATTGAAATATAAATTGTATGAAATTCTGTCAAACTTTTTGTTTTATTTGTGTTGTCATTATATTAGCCAAGATCCCTACATGACCTTAATCTTTCTAATTCGATTTATCAGATTAGTAGACTAGATAACAATAGGTATTTCACCACAACGTATTTGTTAACAAAGGAACACCTGTCAATATTTGAGATTTAATCTATTGTTATTCAGATAGATCTACATGTAAAAGGTCAAAGTAGGGATCTATCAATTCATAAGTATACTGTCAAAGTAAATTTATAACTTTTTGTCAATAATCATTTGGTTTTGTTTTTTTATAGACTGACACTTAATTTTTGTGTGATGACAATTAGCTGATAAGATTGTATACATGAAAAACAGTCGACAGAAAACCCCATTTGGACATAAAAGAATGATAAGTGCATGAAATTAAGGTAATATATGGATTTTGATTTTGTTATTTACTGTAATTTCTGTTTTGTCATAATTAACTGTTAATCAAAAGTAAAATAATTACGTGAAATGTCTTATGATTGAATTTGCACCTTTACATGTTACTGTTTTGCAAATTACATGTATTTGAAGTTACAGTTTTTGAGTGTTCTACATCATCAATCGACATCTGATTTTAATTTATGATATGCTAGGGTAATCTATTGGTAATAATATTTCTATTTAATATAATTTAATTGACCATTTTGGTTGTTATGTACACCTATTTATTTCTGTTTCTTTTTTGCAGTTTCAAGGGAAAAAAACAAGTTGAACCTCAAAACAAGTTTGACACAGTGTCTTCGTAGATGAAAATAATCAAGATCCAGTGGTGGACGTTTAGTATACCAGAATTATTCACATGGAGGAGTATATCTCCAAATGTAATACTTTTAAGTTAGTTTTGAAAGAATAAAGATAAAAAATACTTACTTTCTTTAAATGTGAATATTTATTTATTGTTTTGTGTGTTACACTTAATTTTGACAGAAAGGAATATTTTCCCTCACTTATCCGATTTGTTACTGATGAAATCAACAAGAAAGCTTTATTTTCCATGATTTCCATTTTCTATGAGTTATTTAAAAGAAAACCTTTTTAAACATGTTGTAAACATGAATACTTTAATTGACATATATTGTAATAGTTAATGTATACTGTAGACCTTTAAATGAAAATGATTTGTTGACTGTTGTTTGTTATAATTTTGGATTACAAAATGTGTATTATTGTATTGACTGAAAGAGGTCTGATAAATGTTGAACTTCAATTTTGAAAAGCCATGTAGCTCTTATTTTTAATTTTAATAGTTTATATACAATTTATAAATATCAAACTTTATTTTATTACCACTATAAATGATTAAAAGTGAGTCATTTTTGTGACGTTATACAAATGTGTTGAAAATATATATTTACTGTATATCAAGTTTTACATGAATAGATAAATCATAAACTGTGTTATACATTTTGTTTAATTGTTTTTATGATCACTTTCTTAAAATAATAAAATCACTTTTCGAGTATGGAAAGTTTTGTATTTTCTCTTATTATTTAATGAAAACGGGTCAGATTTATGTTGGGAATTGGTTGGAATTACGTTGGAAACTAGTTGGTATTACGTAAGTAACTGGTTGGAATCATGTTGGAAACTGGTTGGATTCACGTTGGGAATAGGTTGGAAAGTAGTTGTATATACGTTGAATAGAGGTTGGATTTATGTCATTTTATGACGTTGGATTGACGTCGGACTCTGACGGCTAAAAAACTTTCATATACAACTAAATTCCAACGTCTATCCAACGTCGGACTCTAACGTCTGAGCAACGTTGAAACAACGTCATGTGTTTGCTGGGTTACAGCAACTTTCACATTTCGATCCTTTTATGACAAATAATTTCAAATTCAGGTGCTTCTGTCTTTAGGTGAAAAGCATGCAAGTTCTAACATGCACTGACATAAGATATGTCAAAGTCTAAGCATGTTGAAAACATACGCCATCTGGAGTGCTTCCCCTTACATGAGGTGGTATCATATCGACAAGCGAGTTTGAAGACTGCTGTGACACCTCTAACTCGTCATCATCCTTAACGTGCAGATAGAAAGATGGGAACAAAAAATTGATTTTATGTAACTTATATAACAAACGTACATGCATCCATGCTGTAGTATAACAATTATAGTCCTGAGTGATATTTATATGTATATACATGTATATTATGAAAGATTAAAAATGGTTATAACTATACTTTTTGGGGAAACAATCTACACTTCTCCGTCAAAAACTTTCTTTTCTATCCTAAATGTTATGCTTTTGACATAAAAAAACACAACAACAACAATAATATAATAAGGCGTTGCTTGATGGACAGCCCAACACTTCTTACTACCCCATAACACCCCTTAATCTTTACAGCCACACGCTGCCCAAATAAAAATATTGGCCATTTCTATTTTAAATTAATACCTAGTGTCTTTCTAACTTTCCTATAAATCATAATTTAAAACGTGTTTCTGTTTCTATAGATATAACAGAATCATAGGCAAGATTAAAATGAAGGCTTCTGGTGAAAAGTGAGTTTTTAGCTATCATGCTTAAGTTTATTGCTTTCCCTATGAAATCTTCATGGTATTGACACCAACTGCATCCTAGACATATTGCAAACGGCACTTGCAATCCATGTATTCCTCCCCCCCCCCCCCCCCCCCCCCCACAAAAAAATAAATAAATAAAAATTAATTCATTCATTCATTTATTCATTTAAAAAAAATTAAAATATGTAAAAAAAGAAATATAGAACTTACTGAGTTAGTCACACGGTAACAATATGGTGATAATTACTGAAAAATCAGTTATTAATAGCACAACAAACAAACAAAAAATCATGTAAATTATTACTAGAACTTTTTTAATCATCTTAGTACATATTTCTCAATTTTGAATGTTTTGACATATTCTGGCTAATCTGGAGGCATGCAGCTTTAAAACAATGTAGACTGAACGATGCGTTTACTTTCTTAACTCTAAAATACCGAGACAACTTAATAAATAACTGTTTATTAGACTTACCCATTCGCTTGTTCGCCGGGGACCACTTGCGCGATCAAGATCTTGCATCAGATCAGCTGACGGTCTCTTTAAAATTATTAATAAAAAGTTGAATTCACAGAAAAGAACAGCACACCTTCTGCGCACTTGCTTAATGTTATCTTCATAAGAAAGATTCTTGGGAGGGATCCAAACCCACAGCGTAAGAAACGGGTGATGGGAATATATTTAATAAAATAAATAATTACACTGTCAAAGTGGCCAAGAAAACATAAAGATAAGTTTAAAACCCATTAAAAGAATCAGAAGAAAAGAAAACGAGTGGCCGACAGTGTCTGTCAATGAGGAAAGAACATTGTATGTAAATGAAAAGTTTTAATACCGGTCATCATGATTGTTCAAATTTCAGGACTGAAAAAAGTATTTAATCAAGTTGCAACTGTGTTTGAATCAATCATTAAATGAAATAAGCGAATGATTAAAAAGAAAACGAGTAGATTTTGATATAATAATAATTGTTGTATACTGAGAATATACATGTACATAAACATGTCTTTGAGTGACAGTCAAGACAACTTACTTTATTCTGAAAAAGAAAAATAATACAATAGATTTTAAAACCAGCCACTAAAAATGAATATAAAAAAAAACTTTATCAAAAACAGCAACTTCTTTTCAAGCAAACTACTTTTACCCAACTGTGAATGTAATCATCCGCGTTCTTGTCCCCCATCCTCGTCTCTGACTCGCCATCATCCTGGTATAAACAAAGACAAAATGATCTTCGTGAAGTTGGCTGCCTAGCAGCCTAGCAGCCTGAAAGTGGCAGCCTAGCAGCCTAAAGAAAACTAAGAATAGTACAAACATGAACGCAGTCGGAAAAACATTAGTAGCACTTCTTTAGACCATTCTACGCCTTTTTTCAATATCGTGATCTTTATCTTTTAAGATGTTGAAAAAGGGGAAAATGGAAATAATATATCCGAAATTATACCGAAGAAGAATTTACTATGGGTAGCTGGGCGAATTTAATAAGGAAAGTATAAATACAAAAATGTTCTAGAGAATTTCCTACTTTCTTCAAACAGTCTCCCCTTTCTTATTCCTCTTTATTGGCGACGCCGGTGAGCGGCGTTGTCTTTTATGGAATGCTTTTTATTTTGGCCTATGGAAGGAGCTGTTATTATTAGCAGTTAATGTCATGTTGTGTTAATTAGCTTTATTTTGATTCGTAAAAATCAAGTAAACAAATATGTTGTTATATTTGTATTTAATAACTTTATGTAAAAAGCATGTGCATTGTAAATTGCAGGCTCAGTTTAACAGCTTGTCCCATAACTTTATTGGCAATACTAAAACCCGGATTTCGAATATCGTTGTGGTCTACATTGATGCCATTTATATATATATTTTCAAAATTTTCCTACAAGAAGAACGTTCACCTGCAAATGAATATAAGGATAGGTAAAGGAACTGTTGTAAACATTTATGCTATTGATTTTATCCATATTACGTTTATCTATTGCACAGAATGATTGTTTTTACAAAGTGTACCAGTATCCTAATGTTGAAAGCTATCCGATTTTCTGCAATTACTGATGTCACATGGCCATCTAACTTTTTATGAATATTTAACCATTACTTTGCATGGCTTAATAAAACTAAGCCTGCAACATTTCATAATTTTGCTGTTTAGGGTGTTCTTTTGGGCTTCAGGTTATCTCTTTTTTAAGGGGAAGTAACTCATGTTTACTAAATTATTTGTTATTTTCTGTCTATCTTAGGTATTACTTAATATTTTTGTTGTATAGAATTTACCGGTTGTAATGTCATCAAAAGCATAGAGGCCTTGAGGAGTGAATATTGATAGATTTTTTTACTTGCTTAATATACCTTAAACTGGATTTTTCTAGATTGTCCAGTTTTATAGGGGGTGATTTGTGCCACATGAAAACCAACAAATTACAAAAAGGAACCGGGTGCCACGAAAACATGAAAATACAATGTACCACAATGTGGTTCGTTTGTTGCATTTTCATGTTTTCGCCCGGTGCCCCTGATGCAAAATATAAATAAGCCTTCATAAAATTTCTTATCATAGAAAAAAGGTTAGTTTTTTATCTGTACAAAAATATAAATAGTGTACATGTATTAGGACAGTTATGTTCACTTTCAAATTGACCTGTTATAAATAATGGCACAACCAATAACTGTCTTTGAATCCCTTTTTAGTAAAAATACAGTATATAAATTGTTATTTTGACTAAGACTATGAGTATTAAGATTGTTTTTTTCTTACTTGTTTAATTAAGAATTATTCTACCTGTTAATTTAAAAATCTAAAAGTATCTGTCACGGTTTAGAACTGTTCAATATTTAGGGGAGAAAATGTGTAAGCGGCTAGATAGCTCAATCGCTATAGCCGCGATACATTATTCTGTGGGTCACAGGTTCGAGTTCTGGTCAAACTGAAAGTTTTTCTCATCCTGTGACTGCATAAAACCCTGAGTTTAATATACTATGCTCTGTAAACATCCGACATTCAGGGACACAAATCAATATAGTGGAAAAATATGTTGTTGTTTAGAACTGTTTCATTATTAAAGAGAAAATGTGTAGCTATAGCTGGCCGGATAGCTCAGTTGGTCTTCTGACAGTCATGGGATCGAGTCATGGTCAGGCAGTTTCAGTCAGGGCTTAGTAGTGGTTTTCCAACTGACATATGTTTAATTCATTTAACAGATTGTATTAAATTTAAAATTGACAACGGCAGTATTGCATGATACTTTTAGATCTACAAAAGGCATTTGATACAGTTGATCACACTATACTGCACATGAAGAAGTTCTTCTTTATGAAACTTCAAGCATCTGCCATAGATAATGACATTCTTACATGGTTCAAGTCTTATCTCTGATAGACAGCAGTTGGTGGATGAGGCTGGTACTCATTCTACTACTGCTCCGAGTACCTATGGTGTCCCCTGAGGTTCCTTTTAGATTTCCTTTTATGTCTAATATGTCAATGACATCTCTGCAACCCTAAGCAATAAGCCTTTATTATTTGCTGATGACTCAGGTATCCTTGTATCTGGTCAAATAAATCTGGAGAAATTCCTCTCTTATGGCATGAGTCTTATAAGATTGGTTAATTGACTATAAATTGTCTTTGCATCCTGGAAAGACAGAGTCTATTCTTTTGGGTTCAACTTTCAACATAAACAGGGTCCTAGCTTCACATGTAATGGTACTGCTATAAAGTACACATCTTTTGTTAAGTATTTAGGTACAAAACTTGATGAAATGTTTTTTGGCGTCGCCTTGGATGCTTTGCATCAATGATTTTCTT